TACTTATATTATTTATGAACACAATTTACTTTAATAACAAGTAAAGCACAAATTTTCATATTTCAATCAATAAAATTAGAATTAGGTTTTTAAAATAAATAAAGTTGGATCAAGCCAATGGTCAATTGTAATTTAGCACTTGTCCCTTCAACAAGTGCTTTGAAGAACAATACAATTAAGCTTTGTACTATATAATTAAAATTACTTTCATTTATATACGAATATATTTCAAAAATTGCGTATTTCTAGGATGAGCATTGTATGTATTTCTTGAAATAAAACAAAAAAAAATTTAAACAGGCATTAATATAGTGCTCGAATTCAAGGGTTCATTGCGTGAGTTAAAAAAATAATTATATTTTTTAATGGCATGGCATTTACCGTTAGCTTTCTGCATTTATAGAAATTCGTGCAAGCTTACAGTTTTGGAAATGTAAGGTCCCAAAAATTAGAATTTTACAAATTTCGAAATAACAAAATGAAGTAGTTTTACCTTCTAATTTCAAACTCCTAAACCTTTCGGTCTAGAAGACAAGCGATATAAAAAATTTGGAATAAAAGTGTTTTAGGTAACGGTAAATTTTAACAACCGTTTTGTTCTTTTAAGTTCAATTATTATATCCCGCGGTAGGAGAAGCAAGCCATTATTTTTTTGCGTTTGCAAAATTTGAAAAATGCTTATGGTTTCGTTGTTGAATAGTTGACAAATGGAAAAATGGAGAATTTTTAAGGGTTTGAGGGCCTACGTACGTATGCAATTTCAGCTTTCTATCTTCAAATAAAAGTTAAGGTGTAAAAGTTTTGTAAATATGTCCACGGACGGACAGAGTGAAATTAAGAATAAGCACTTTTTTTCAAAAGTTTTTTGGAAAAATGCTAAAAGGAAGTCAGATGACATTTTTCTAAAAAATAACGTCAATTCATTGTCAAAATATATGTCTTATGTAGACGGAGTTTGATGTTTATTGTAAAAAAAAACCGGAAAAGCTTTATATGTATATTCAGGTAGATGAACAAAAGCAGAATATTGAATATTAACAGAAAGAAGTACAAATGTAAATAAAAAATATACAAATATATATATACATTATGTACATGCACATATTATTTTTTTTTATGTGTTTGTGTATATGATTTTTCCATTTTATCGACTTTAAGTTGATTGTCACGATAAAATTTGTTTCAGTTTTTATTATTTCCATGAACAGTGAAGTAGAGATGAGACGATGTTATGATTGTTGTTTACATTAAAAGAATTGACATAAAAACTTTTTTGTTTAATTTTTTTGATTTCTTATGAGCTTTTTTTTTAATTGTTTGATTTTTTTGCCAATTTAAATTTAATTTATTTATTTATTTTTATAATTTGATGGTAAGAAATTTGACATTTTCTATTTTTTTTATTTTAAAATTAATACATATAGTATATTATGCCTACATTTGTTTGTGCATAAATGTTCGGTATGTGGGTACACGTATATGTAAATATTTTGTTTTTATATTTTTAAAATTTATAACTAGGTATGTATATTCATATAGGTAATTTTTTTATAAATATTATAATTTGAAACATTGTACGTACGTAACAATGAATATTGTTATAATAAACAGGATTAACAATAAATTATTTATATTTTAAGCACGTGTATAAATTATATTATAATATTGTAAATCTTTTGTTTTATGTTGCAAGTGAATATGATTTGACACACTATAGCTTTTATTCAATTTCGTTTTTGTTTTTCTCGTATAAGATACACAAACACATATATTCCTATCAAATAATTTTTATAATAATCATATACCTACATATTTGCACAAATATTTACATTTTTGTGAGTTAAACTGTGAAGTATGAATATTGCAAAAAATATTTTGCGTTGTTTTTGACATATTTTTTTTCACACATTATGAAATTAAAATTTTAGTAAATTATTAAATTCGTGAAAAAATATAATACATATTTTAAAAATAGTGCATATTTTGCGAATTAGAAGAAAAATTTTAATGTATATATACATGTGAACCTATAAATTAAAAACAACTTTATAATTAAAGCTTATTAATTTAAGATGTCATTTATGTAAGATTTTTGTGTCATATATGTATATTAACACATATATACAAACATCTCAGTATCTATAAATACATGTATGCGTTCATTTGCGATCATATTGCTATGTATGACCATTTGTGATCTTGAAATTTTTCTAGTATACATACATATTTTAATTAAAAACTGTTTTTTTACCGGCAATTAAAACATATTGTTATTATATTTCTTTTTTTTTGTTTGTAAAATAACAAGGTCGGTTCAAATAAATAATTTGTAAAAAAATACATTTCCATTCTATAAGGAATTGTACGCATACTTTTTATTTGCATGACTAAATTTTCCTTTAACCTAATTTATCATTAGCGCCATATTTTTCGGAGATAGAAAAAAAACCTATAGGTATAAAAAACAATATGTTCTTAAATGAGTGATTGAATTTTTCCTACTTATGGTCGCATTTAAGTCAAATATACAAAAAAACTTTTTTCATTATAGCGCATTTTTAATAAAATTGTATTCAAAATGTACCGTGACCAGCAAAATGCAGTGAAAAAAGTTTTACTAGTTTAGCTGCAGTATTAATATCATAGTAAAACTTTAAAAACGACTGCATTGCAAAAAGAATGCAAAGCAAAAGTTTAAAACATTTGAGATGTAACAATTTCATTTTGACGTGTTATTTTGTTCAATCGTATAAAATAAAATCTGTAAAAACCGTGAAACGCATTATCATTTCTGTTTTCAGTATTTTTATGATACTTCAAATCAAAAAAACATTTTTTCGAACATTAATAATCAAATGTTAATAAAGATTATCTCAAATCAGTTATTTGATTTAAGTTGTAATAAAACCTTCCCCTGATGTTATTGTTCCCATGTTTTATTCTGTTATATCAAATTCAAGAATATTGTTTATCTATTTCGTGGGTGTCGAAAGGATACTTACTTCTACTTCTATTCTTTACTATTCACTTCTTTGATTTCATTTAGCACTTTGTTCCACATGGCCTTTTTCTTAAAGCAATTAGAAACAAATTTTATGTTTCAATCTTATTGATATGAACAATATCTTTCTTTCCATAGTCAATTTTTCGTGTCTACAAAATTTCAGATACTTAATTTCATAATATGTACTCGTATTATCCCTCCATTTTTTTTTAAATTCTCGGTATAAATATATTACTTTTTTTAAATTTTGCTTGTAACTTCAATTCCAAAACAAATCAGTGTCAAGTAAACGAATTTTGTTACTAAATATTCCACAAACATATTGGTTGGTTATTCAAACGTTAAAATTTGAATAACTGGCATGATAGTGCCAAAAAAAATTGTCCGGCTTGATCTAATTTTTTAATTGAACCTTAATTGGAGTAACCTTACTGTTTTGTCATGTCGCAAAAAAGTAGTTTCTTACTTACTGCGTAGCTGAAACCCATTTTTAGAAATTGCGATTTTGCTGCATTCTATAAAATTTTGATTCTACACATTAATGCTGCACTTTGGATGTCAGCTATAGTCAATATTGTTTAGTTTACATAACTTCATAACTAGTTTTACGTTCGAACGTCATGGTTGCGGAAAAAATTTTCCGATGCGAATATATTTCCATTTTCTGTTTAGCAAAAATTAATTTAGTATAAACGTGACAACAGAGACGTTACCAAAAAAATTATGCATCATTTTGCACTGCCTTTACATAATACGAACTGTTAAATTTAAATTACGTCGAAGTAAATAGTAAATAAATTGGCATAATCTATCGACATTTGTATATATCAACAGAAGGTCTTTTCTTCTAACGTATTACGTGAAAATTAACATAATTAGACAATTAATGGAATTACGAATAGCCAAATATAAATTAATTTGTAGTATGTATTCACTTACATAATTTACAAATATAATTACATAATTTTACAAATATATGTGTAAAAATAAAGAAAAAATCAAGGAATAGAATGACATGAATTTCAAAGAAACTATACACATACCTTTAAACAAACGATATTATATAATCGGATCATTATATAAATGCAATTGAATATTATTCACATTAATCTAACAATAATTTATTCGTAGAAAACAGATATGTTCAATAAATGATGTTTAAAAAAAATACAACTATTTATTCAATATGAATCTATTTACAAAGATTATAACTTGCATTTGAACGAAGTTTAAAATCTAAATGATTCATTATAGGACCTTAATCTAAATATAATGTGTGTACTGAATTAAATTATAAAAGTGTTCATTTTAATACTTTTCTACTACAATACTACTACGTATAATAAAAACTATTTAATCAACACAAAATTCTTTTTTTTTGTTCTCTGTTGATAGCTTAATGTCGTATTCTACGATACTTACAAATAATTTTATTTTATTATCTATGATAGAAGCGTTTTTATTTCATTAAACGAACACATAACGGGTTGTTAGTAAAATACTGTCTTTTATTGTAAGTATTTCAAAAATTTGTAATATTATTTTAATTTTATCGTCACCTTTGCATTTGTGTATAAATTTTATATTGATATGAACATATCGCTAGTCAAGTGGTAGATACTTCTGTATAAAAAACTTCTGTAAAATAAAAACTAGGTTTAATCAAAAATATGAACATTATTTCTTATCTACATAAATTGTCGAATTATAATTAAATTAATGTGAAAATTGAAATTTTTCCGACAATACAATGTACAAAAAATATATACATTCTTGCAGTAATGACGTATATTTGTGTTAATAAACTTTAACCCTTTCAAAGCTCATTTCAATGATGATGTTATTGTATTTCGTGTGTAATTTTTTGGGATAACACTGATATTTCATGAAATAAAAAAACATAAAAAAAAATTTCACATCTATCTTAACACAACCCCTACTAAGAAAATTAAAAAAGTGTATATTACAAAATAAATAAAAGTTTCATAAAAATAATATTTAATTACTATCACTTAACTGAACTGATCGACAAAATTCGTAATAGTTTCTCAGAAAATTAGTAATAATGATAAACTTATGACTAATAACATTTATCAAAAAGTTGGTAGCAATTCGCAATTACCTTAAATATAGTTAAAAAATTGTAATTATTCGAAATTTGGTGTACTAAAAAGAATAAAGAAAAAAGTTAAGAATTAAGACAGAGTCACGTTAGGTAACAAGGGGCACATCGTGCGAAAAAATTTATTTCTTCTAATAAAATTATATCCCACATCTTTTTCCTTTGAAGTTAAACATTTACACTCGTAGTTTTTTATCGGACTCATTTTTCATATCAGAAAGATTTTTGTATTCTATTGTCACAAATTTTCATATTCGTATAATCAAATATAACTAAAAATTTCAGAATCCTGAAGACGGCTCAGGTCAAATACATTTGTATATCTCATATGTTTTCATTTGAAATTACTTTTTTTGTGAATTAAAATTAAAGAAAAAAATAAAGTTCCACACCACATAATATCCTATTAAATTATTTGATTTTTTTCATCGACCACATGGATGAGTAATTTCCAGTAATACACGATATTCAATGAGGAATAATACAATCATAACCACATACATAAATGAGTACATACATATAATAAAGGCCAAAAAAATGTCAGCTGATAAGAAATAAAAAAATACAGAACTTCGTGATAATCTTATCGAAAAAAAGCTTACTTTTAGATAAAAATTTTATTAATTCAAAGTTACCTCAAATAAAATTCAATTTTTAGAAAAACTAGAAGGTAGAAATGTAAGATTTTAAAAAATTTCAATTTCAATTTACATTATGAAAATATTCGAAGTTTTAAATGCTTCTTTTACTTTTATTAAATCAATCATCTAACATACTTAAAATATTAATGGTTTGTTAAACATTTCATTTTAGTTTTGCAACAAGGAGACTGAGACACTACAAATATATAATAATGTATCCGCATTGGAAAAGGATCTATAAAAATGGAATATTTATTTTAATATATATCGCAATAATTGCACAGGCGGATGAATTTAATAATTCAAATGAAAGTACTTATTTATGCCAAGATAAAATATGTTCGTGTTTAAATCATACTAATGAAGACTCTGGTTTAAAATATGAAGAAGCTGACTGTAAATCTAAAAATTTAAATGAAACGTATTTCGAAAACAAAGAACTACTATCTTATTTGATCAAACTTGATTTGCATGGGAATTCTATTAGTGAAATACCAAATTTTAATAAGAATGAAATGAAAATATTAATTTTATCAAAAAATAAAATTAAAATTCTATATGATCAAAATTTTAAACATTCAGCTCAACTTGAAGAACTTGATTTAAGCTGGAATGAAATAGAAGTAATATCGATGAATGCATTTGATTATTTAAAGATGCTTCTGAAACTAGATTTATCACATAATAATTTAAAAAAAATTAATTTTCTTTTATTCTCTCATTTGTCAAAATTACAAGATTTAAATTTATCATGGAATAGAAATTTAAATGAAAGCAAAGATTTAAAATCATTAGATTTTTTTGAATTCTATGGCGTTACACCTTATCTTAGAACTTTAAATTTAAATGGTTGTAACTTAGAAGTTTTACATTTAAATCGTGGTACTAATTTACAAAATTTGTACATATCTAATAATAATATGTATAGAATGCCAGAGCTACCTAGAAATATTAAATTAATTGATTATAGTAATAACCCAATTGAATTTTTAAATCAAACATTTGCTTCGCATTTATTTTATTTGCATACATTATATTTAAATGATATGCCAAATTTAAAATCAATTAACGAATATGCTTTTTTTGGATTACCAGCATTAAAAACAATATATTTACAAAATTGTAAAGAATTAAAATATTTTGATCCCCACGCTTTTGGTGAAAGTGTTATTCGAAATGAAACTGATACTGTTTTACAGGAATTGAATTTACGTGGAAGTTCTTTAACAACACTAAGTTCTTCATTAAAATTTGTATTTGAAAATTTAAAAATTTTAAATTTAGATGGAGCACCATTAAGATGTGATTGCGAATTACAATGGATTAGGGAATATAACTTTACAGTAATTGGACAATGCTATGAACCAAAACACTTACATATGCAGCAAATAAATAAAATTAACGAAAAATTTGAATGTGATTGGCCGGAACATATTAAAAATATCATAAATGGGTTTATTATATTTGGAATTCTATTTGTGTGTATAACACTTATATCGATAGTTGTTCTAGGATTAAGAAAAAAGCGTTCACATAGACGTCATATAGGCTCTGGAAGTCCATATGCAAGAATAACAATTGAACCCACTTGTGAAAATCGTTTTTAAATTAATTCAACACAAAAGTTTTAAGTTACTTATTTAGTTATAAGGCATATTGTTTAAAATTTACTTGTAAATATTCTATAGTTATTATGTAATTGTTTTTATTTTTATTAGATCCCTTTCAATTGGGGTTTTTGAAAAATAAAAAAGGCAACTAGTCATGAATTGTTCTAATATAGTTTTTTTTTTGTGAATGTGAATGAATAGAAATTTTTAATTTAACCAATTTAAAGTCCTAATGGTGGGTGTTTACATTGTGATATTTTTGCATGAAGTTAAAATAAAATTATAAAGCTATTATTAGAAAAACATATAGATGAAATAAAAATGTAGATGAAGTAAAGTTATAATATAAAGTTTTAAAAAAATTGTTTACATGAAATATCGCAAATTTGCAAGAACAATGACATAAGTCAAAATAAAGAGTTGCAAATGTACTTTTATTACCATTATACTTCAGTATAATAAAGCTTTCTTGTAACAAATTAATACAGAAAATTTGTTCATATATTTGTAAAATAGTTCTATTATCTACACCAACGTTTTTAGCCTTCGATAGTAATTTACACTCGGCTATATATACTTTAAATTCCGGAAGTAGAAGTTATATTTTGGAGTTGTGTCGCTATTCTTCCCTATTATGTAGATCATATGCACATATTATTGTAAGTATAATTGTGTAGGAACTTATAATATAAAATGTATAGCTAAGAATACTCGTAGAATGTGTATTTTATACTTATGTATATCGATTTTAAAATTTATTTAACGTTTTTCCAACTTTTGACAACATCTATAAACTCAGTATAGAAAGAGTTATTAATTTACTACAAAATCTTTAAATGTAGGTACTAAGGCACGAAGCCTAAAAAAAGTGGGCTTTGATCATGTCTGTGGTTCAATAGAATTATTATTATAAAATTTTTATACTAACTTTTTGATAAATGTTATTAGAAGTTGTGAGAAAATAGAAAATAAAACTATTATTTTTTGAAAAACAAAATGCTTGTTTTATCATTGGAATGGTGTATATTTATTTTAATATGTTCAATAACTAAATTAGCAAATATAAAACTTCAATAATCCTAGAACTAATAAGTTGGAAGATTTAAAAATAAAATTCTTTCAGGATTTCTTTCTGAAAAACAATTGTATTATGTATGTACAATGTGTGTATGTATGTATATAAAATACATGCATTGTATGCACAAATATATGTATGAAAATATACAAATGCACATACAATGTATGTATGTAAATATGTAAATGCTGCAATGTATTCCGTAAGCTATCAGCTCATAAGGAATTTCTATAAATATATACGAAAATTTCGACAATTTCCCGCAATATGATTAATTGTGGAAAGGTTGATTTACAATTTCTCTTAATATTGATCATAATTTTTGTTAGAAAACACTTTGTATTAATTTAAATTTGTAAGCCAAAACTAAATTTTAAATTCCGGCTTTTTGAATGGATAATGAGATTCACCTTATATTGATTGCAATTCAAGCAATGTTTTATACAATTAAATCTTCTTTTTGCTTTTTAAATATAAAGTAAGGCGTATTAAAAATAAGTGAAAGGAAAAATAAAAATATGTAATAGTTTTTTTTTCAACAAAGTTATTCATTTTGTATTAAATATTGATTTTTCCTTAAATGAAAAAAATGGTACTTCAAAATTGAAAATATGTTTATGGATTAACTTACACAATATATGAATGCTTTTCCAGCCTATACGAAATACTTTAGCTTATTTTTCACTTTATAATATCACTCAAACTCTTATTATCTTATTCAAGCATTTAAATTTAAAATATTTTGCACTTTTATTCACACAAAGAAATTCAATTTTCCTGCTAACTGCCGAACAAAGTTTTGAGTATTCAACATCAGCTGTCAGCACTGATGCCATTTTTCTATATTTAACTGGATTTTAAAGATTTTACCTTTAAGTTTTTATATGTAATAAAGCAACAAGATTTTAAAATGAGTTAATTTAAAATTATTATTTTATTTTTCGACAAGCCGGTTAATTTTTAATATATTTCTGTGTTGTCAAAAAATAACTCAGTTATTTTTTAACCAAATTATTTTAAAACACGCCTTGAAGTTTACTACTTATTAAAATGCAACTGCGTTGTTTTTTAATTTTTGTCTTATGAAGGGATTTTATACGACACATATTTGAGTGTTATCAATATTTTTAATAAAATTCATGTGGCAACACTTGGTATCTGTTGTCAGTATGATTTATTTCACATGACCTACATGAGTTACTTATGTCATATAAACATTATCAGCAACATAAATTTTTCGCCACCTGGTGATAAAAAAATTAAAGACAGGTGGTGCAAAGTCGTGGACCTATTAATACATGAATAGCTGACATAACATAAATATCAAGGCCTGGACACTACTTTTTTGTACAAAATGACATTTCTGAATAATCTTTTTATTTCCTTTTTTTTTAAATTGTGATTTTTGCCTATTTTCATTTCGAGTTTTCTATGGAAAAAAAAATTAAATAAAACCTAACAAATTTTATATTAATATGAAATTTCAACACGAAAATTTAACTATAATTTTGATTAAATAAATTTTCAAGTTAAATAAATTTTCAAGTTTTTTCCGCATTTTTTTGAGTCAGGCAATATATCTGAGAGGATTGAGAGTAAAAAATTATAATACACTGAATAAACAAAAAATTGGTGTTATATTTTTTAGACTAGAATACACGACATAAAGTAATTTTTGCTTCAAAACTTTTTGATTAAGATTAAATTAAAATGAAATAATCAAAATGGATGGTAAATCCAATTTTTGTTTTAAAATTTAGCTTGAATACAAAGCTACTCAAATCTGCTAAAATGTCGAAATTGTCTACATATTAAAATTTTACTGAAACAGCTACAGATATTTTCTGACCTTAACTTTTAAAATGCAATATAAATTGCTTGGGATTTCTTAAGTAATTTACTACAAATAACGAAACTCACGTTGTTGAATAAAGCAAATTAATATTATTTATGAGTTTATTTGTACAAAATAAGACAACTTTTAAGATAAATTTTTTTCTTGAAATTGGATACATTTTGTTTTTACCGTGTAGGAATACTGTTCAAAAGTCTATGTCGTAGTTACATATGTTCGTAATTCGTAGGATTCTAAGAAAACGAGTTCATTTTAATTAAACTTTTTCTTTGATTGTCTATTGTTTTTTGAAATTTCTATTATTTTTTGAAATGTGTCTTATTTTTTTATGTATCTACTAATGCTATATATATCTATCAGTCCATCAAGCTCAGAGAACAAATCAAAAATAAATTCCAAATTTATGTGGAGTTTAAATGAAATGGGTACCGGAACATGTTTGTGTGAAGGAAATTGATCAATACTTTTCGTTTTTTTGATTCTACATATTTATTTAAATTAAAAAAAAATCGCTTGGTTAAATTCCATCTTGGTAAAGAATGTATTAAAAACAAAATTTGCAATTTTTAGTGCAAACAACCTTTCTTGTCTACCAAAAGGAAGGGTACTGAATTACAGAGTGAAATTTTTGAATAAGAAATAGAATTTAAAAAGAAATTTAAGAAGAAAAAAGCAAAAAGATTATTATTATAGTCTAGATGGCTTTTAAAACTATACTAAATAAAATGATTATCATAAAAAAACTCAAAAATTTCACAAAAAAATAAAAAAATATTTCAATCGGCATACTTTGAAAACATAAAACATCAAGAATTGTTTTTGTATCTTTAAAAGTAAATTAAAAAATTTCAAAAATAATTGGAAAAAAGCGTAATATAAAGATCCCTGAAGACATAAAAGAAAATTAATATCTAATTAATAACATAAATAATTTATTTAAATAATTATTTTATTTTACATAAATTATCATAACGTCTATAATTCATTTTTTTTGTATGTTATTTTTAAATTTTTATGAACATTTAATGAACAATAAGGTTTACATGCATAAAGTTTAATACGTTTTGTTTCATTTAAGTTTCTACATTGGTTCCCTAGAATAAGTTTCATGAATTTAAAAAAATATTAAAAAAAAAAAGAAAATTGGAGTTTCTTTTTGGGTGAGTAGGGCACCTTATTACAATCAAATAATTTTCAACTAAATCAAAATGTACAGACTTTACTTATTTAAAATTTATTTAATTTCGGTTATTTTTTTTTTATTATTATTATTTTATTGGAACTAAGAAAGTAATTCCAATCTAGCAACGCTTCTACCCCATTTCAAGCCAGAAGAATTGCTAGATAGGATTTACTTTCTTAATTGCAATAAAATAAGAATAAAAAAAAACTCAGTTATAATTTATTTATGATAAAATTTAATAAATTTCTTTTTTGTATTTTTCTCAATAAAATTTTTAAAACTTTACTAACGTCTTTTAAGATAAAAAAATTATTGCACATAAGTTCATTGGGGTTTCATTTTTACTTTTTTTTATTACAAAATTCTAAATTAATTTTTTTATTCTACTCTAACAATTCAATGTAAGTAATTAAGCAAGGTAGGTTATTTGCTTTGACCGTATGTTTTAATCACGCACATAAAGTTAAAATCTTTATGATGTCAATTTACAGATTTGTGCATTTAAATTTGTTTATGAAACAAATTTTTTTGTATTTGCACATGACACAATTTTCATTTTGGTTTTTAAAATATGCGGCAGCGAAAAATTGGCAAAGAAGCAATTAATATTAAAGAACATAGCTATTTGATCACCTTTATCAGAATGGTAATAAGCCTCAGTTTCGTACAACAATTTATAAAACTTTAGCGGTAATAAATTTGAAATAGCTTTTTAAACTAAGTAAATGTTAAGAAAAATTTGTCAATTATTTTATTCCCAGAATAGTCATTTACGACTTTTTCTTTAAAAGCAAATTGAAATGAAGTAAAACTTAGTATACAATGGAGTTTCGTCTGAGATGTATTAAGTATAATAAAGAAATTAATAGTTGTATTTTTTACAAAAAATATAACAAAATAAGTTTAACAGTTCCTTGTTTTTGGAAAAAGTGTAATAGTTAGCTTTTATAATGTTATAAATTAAAGTTAATACTGGTAATATTTAGGATTTTAGTTCGTGTGACTGAAAATACATACATTCGTAATAAAATAAAAAGTTTATCTTCAAATGCATAAGCTCGAACAATTTGAAAAAAAACTAACTATTTAAAAAATTACCAAAATACTATTCATATTAGTATTTTTTATTAATAATCTAAAATACTATTCATATTAGTGGTTTTTTAGCGGTTTTTGAAAAAAATAATTTCTGAAATTTATCACAATAATATATTTGACCAAATTAAAGGAGATTTGCTACAATTAACATTTTTGTTTGTTGTTCGATTACATTATCTACGATCATAATTTTTTTTACTGTTTTCAGTTTAGATATCAATGGTACGTTAAAATATTTTAAACATTGTGTTTTTTTTCTTTTAAATTATGCGACATAAAAAAATTTTCATCAATACTTAAAAACAATTTTAACAATTTAATATTTTTACTATTGCATGTGAACACGTTTAAACTTTTTATTATTTTCTCTAAACAATTACACATTTAGTAAAATTAAGGAATGGTCTTTGTAACATTTTATTTTAAACTCTTCTTTTTAATATAATATACTGTTTTGTTTTCTTAAAAGTTACATTTAAATTTAATTACAAACATTGAGCTTTAAAAAAACAATTATGTACAACATTTCTTAAATTTTTAAAAATTAAATGGTACATAAATTTATCAATACTATGTTCGATGAAATGGAATTTGTAAAGTTATTGTAAATTTCAATTGCAATTATATTGACTATTTTCTATTTTTTGATTACTACACACTTATAATACAAATTTATATAAAACAAAACTTTATGAGTTAAAACATGAAAGAAAATATTACAAATATGAAAAAATGTTAAATAGTTTATTTAAGAACAAGGTCTATAAAGTTTTTGCTTTATAATTACTTAATCAATTCAACAATTTGAAGTTAAATTTATAGTTTTAATTAAAAGTATAGCGCCAATATTTTATGCCTCGTAGAAGAATTTCAAGAATTTTTGTTCCCCTGTAAATTAGTAATAAATATTTTTTTTTCAATTTTTGTTACAATTCCATTTTTTTTCAAATTCTTTTAGTTAATCATTTTATATTACAAAGAAAAATTGTGTATTTTCTAGTTTTTAATATAGTAAAATTTTTCAGATATTTTCTAATGACTATTGCTCTTTGGTAATGATTAATAATTAATTGTAATAATAAAACGACTTCAACAATTTTATTCATTATTTTTTCTATGTGATTTATATAAAAATATCCTGCCTATAAATTATAAATGTTGATATAATAACAATTTCTTAAAAAATTAATATAATAAAATTCTGCAACTAAGTGTAATTTTAGTTTTTTTTTCTAAAAGTATACACGTAAGAAAAGGAACAAAAAAAATATTTTAAAAATAATCACAGTTCATTTATAATTAAAAAAAAATTCAAACTTAAATAGCTATATATTATATACATTGTTTCTAGTTTCAGATCGAAATAATATTTAGCAACTAAAATAAAAATTAATAAACTTTTAAAAAATAAAAAATAATTTAATTTTTTGTTTCATCTTTACACATATTTAAATTAACTTAACAAATTTTATAAATAATTAAATAGTTAAATATTTAAAAAAATTAGCAATTAAGGATATTAATAGCTCTTTTTTCAATTTATATATTTTCTTGTTTTAATTTGAGTTTTAAGCTGCAAGTAAGCAGACTATTGTTACATTTTGTTAATACAAAAGGCAACAAAAGATAAATTTTACCAATAACAAATGTATATCCATATTAACTTATTCATAATGCATGTAGCAAAAATAATATATCAAGTAAATTTAATTAGTATTTCGCCTGCGGAATACTAAAGCGAATATAGATCGAATTCGCCACCACCTACTGCGCCTTCGGGAAATTTTTTCAGAGCTTGAGCTGTTACCTGACGCCTAAAATAAAAATAAAAATATACCTTAAAAACATATTTTTCGAAAAGTATTTTACTCAATGTACATGCTATAAACGGTATAGCGGATAATGAATTTTTTGTCGAACTTTTTCAAAATCCATAAAAATTAATTCATATACATACATCTTATAAATTTTTGCAATATTTTAAATTAGTTAAAAATAATAGATAAAACTGAATAAATTGAATACTCCAGAATGTTATAAAATTCAAATTAAGTGTAATAATTTTTAAGTTTGAGTGACATGTATATGCCAAATTTTGAGACGTTCGAATCAAAATTCTCTATAGCTACCAATAACCAAATTACTTTAGCGTTTTCCTTTTTTCGTATTTCTCGTACTAACGTATAGAATGCATCGTCAATATAATGTCTAAGAGCAGCAGAGGTTTCATAAAATGGACATCCAAATTGTAATGCCAAATTTTTACCTTCCTCAGTTGAAATCTACAAAAAATGTAACAAAAAAACCTTTTTAATGAAATCTACTTATTATTCTTATTTTATAACAACCTTTCTTTGTGAATGTAAGTCAAGTTTGTTTGCTATTAATACTAAAGGTATATCTTCCGATAATCGAACTCTAGCGATTAATTTGCGATACTCTGAAGCCTCTTGGAAACTATGTCTATCAGTTACAGAATAACAAATAATGAAACCTTCTCCACACCTCATGTATTGATCACGCATGGCAGTAAATTCTACTTGACCGGCAGTATCTAATATATCTAAAAGAGCGGCTTCACCATCAATTACGGCTTGTTTTTGGTATGAATCCTCTGTAATATAAAGAATACCCATTACTCATCAGTTATTATTGAAAATATTTAAATTTTACCAATTGTTGGATCGTGATAGTCCAAAAAACTGTGTGATACAAACTGAAGTGTAACAGCTAGAAAGATTATAAGAAAAAAAATAAAGTTACGTAACGAATCTACAAATATTTGAGTTGTAAAATTGGATTCTTTCTCTTCTAATTTAATCATTAACTAACAAAACTGTTCCTGTGAAATGAGCCAACAAAATGTTTTATTATTTTTCGATATAAAATTTTTATCAGAATTATTTATTTACCAGATTTTCCTACACCACCATCGCCTAAAATATATAATTGTTTTTATTAAATCTAGGAATAAAATATATTTTCATACCTAAAATCACTATTTTGTATACTCTCAACCCGCCGCGAGTAGTTGTTTGTGGTTGAAATTCTGAATGCTTTGAATTGTCGTAATTTTCATTCTTTGTTTCCTTTTCAGATGACTTGGATTTTGATTTTTTTAGAACTGCAGCACACCCGGCTGTTAAATCTCCTGCCATCACGTTAAGGTTTAGTTACTAATAAATAAAGAATTTTTATAATAAACAATATTCTTAATTGTTTTACGGATATTGTATATCTAGGTATGTTTCATATGTATAAAAAACATGTATGTATGTAAATGCACGTATATATAAACTGGATGAGGTAAGAGATTGGTAAGTACCACTTTACTATTTTGCTATTAAGCTAAAATTTAAATAAAAAAATTTAATTCAATAAGTTTAAAATATTATTTACCTTTTGAAAAATTTATTATAACATCTTAATATATCTCGCTAAGAAAATAGTCCATTGTTTTCGATTTTTAATATTTAATTTTTGGAAAACAACAAAAAACATTTACGAAGCTATTTGCGAAAAAAACTGCAAATTTCTGCAATGCTATTGAATTCTTAATTTGACATTAATCATTAAAAGGATTGTTGCCACAATTATCTTATTCAACCCTGCAACCAGGATTGCCACAGAAAGAGAAGATAATTTACCATTTACGTTTTAAAAAGATGCTGTATTAAAACAAATGTCGCCGAAATAACAAGTTTATAATTATATTAAAATTATATGTAGACCAAATTATTAACGTAGACAAATAGTTCAAAACGTGTTCTAAAATTTAAAGCTTGTTAAAATCCTTTTGTAAACTTGCTTTCTGTTGCCGTCACAGAAATAAATATGTCGCTAGACTATATCTGGAAATTCTCTACATTAATATAAATATCAAGATAGAAAATCCGCTATAATCCATAAAAAATAAAGAACGTTATTTGGTTATGAAACAGAAGATAATTTAAGGCAATTAATTTTTGGAATCAAGAATGTGGTAATTTACGGACAAATCACCAAGTCCCAAACGCCTTTCTTTACCAGAACGGTAGCACTTTCTTTACCAGAAACGAAAATTACCAAAGTAACCTCTCCGTAACTTTAGTAACAGGTTGCACTCACACAAAAACAACATTAAACAGTAATGTAGTTTTAGCAACTTCGTTATATCTAGCGAACATCGATACATTTTCCACCTTTTCGACAAATTTAGTAGAAGAATAATAATACGTTCCTTTAACTTCATTATTTATTTTATTGTGTTCATTTCTGTGTGTTTATATGGGTTGGATTTTTTTTCGTACAAATCTTATTTTAAACTTTTCGATTTTTTTTTTCCTCATGAGCTTTTTTTTTACAAAAAACCAACGAATTAGAAATACTAAAGGAAGGAGTATCTTGAAAAAGCAATGAGGTCAAATTCTTTGTATAGCTATCTCTCTCTTTGTTCAGAGCATTGTCAAAGTTGTAACAGAGTCGGGTTTATTTTATTGTTTTATAAGGATTCTACTACAAAATGTGTTAATTTGTAAAAAAGACAAGTTAAAAATTTTTTTAAAGTAAAAATTAAAAAATATTTTAAAATAATTTTCCCATTTGAAATACGTATATCTGTAAAAAAATCAAATTAAACAGAACTCATTAATTTTTCTTTCTTTGAATAAATTTTTTTTTGTAAATTGAAATAAAAAAAAACATACAATTTTTATATTAAAACACCTTACGCTTGTGTGAGAAAGAAGCATATATTTTGTTTGATGTACTACCTTGGGTGTTATTTGCAATGTAATTTTTGTTGATGACAATGTTGTTAGCAAAACATTTTTCATTGTGAAGAATTGCTGCAGTGCTGTTCTATTAATTTTTTGAATTTCGCATGCAAAATTACTATAAAACTATGCCTTTTTAACAAATTTTAATTAAAATTTTGGTTATTACTCACTAAAGTAGATGGTATATTGTCGTAATCTTCCTCATTAATTGACTTTACTTTTTTTTTGCAAAATAAACAAATTCATAAGTCATTCGTTTCTTTTTGAAATAATCGGGGGAATGTAAGTAAAAATAATATTTTCATAATTAATATTCTTTTAATTTATAGCCGCGAGCTAAAGATAGAATTATTACGTATGCCCTATTTGGTAACAATGGATGAACAACTCTTAGCTTAATTTGTTAGAAAGTAAAATCCGCGGTGCTATATACATATGTATGTATGCACTGAAACGAATACACTGTGGCACGAAAATCGTACAAAATCCGAGATAAAACGCTAATTGGCTTAGCAGTGTTTGTGACGAAGGAAAGTAAAGCCGCAGAGGGTCCTATATTAATAAAGATGTCCGTGGAATGGGTTTATGTGTTTCGTTGGATAGAGCATCGTATTTAAATAAGTACCATAGAGGCTTCAAGTGGAACAACTAGCGGAAGCTTACTTCTCGATGTAAAGTTGAGGTAGCACAACATCATACATTTTTAGAATATGTTGAAAAGTCGTATAACCGCAAGTTCACCGATAAAGAATAAAAACTGAAACTGATAAGATTTGTTATTTGCCATTCTTTTGAATAACGACCTTGCGTGTCGACAGAGGTAAAAATGTGTCTCTGATTGATGTAGGTACTATTAATCGAACTGGACATTTGTCATTCGTTGTTAAGTGTACTGTTTAAATATCTTTTAGTTTATATAACGGTTTGTGCAGATATACAGGAAATGTTCAGCAGCATAAAGATCAAGAGGTCATCTGAATTAGAAAAATAGTGAAGGAAGTTCATAATGACGATATTGAATGAAAACATGCAATTTTCAAAAACGGGGGTTTAAAATGTAAAAAAAAAAAATTTTGGGTGTGTTGATATACCACGATTGACCAGTTTAAATTTCAATTAAGATTTATTAATGCTCCAAAAAGGCAAGTATTATACTTTCTTATGCCGATATTTCATACCTTTGGTCTTCTTGAAAACTTCTTGGTGCATGGAATGTTAATTTTGTAAAAACATTTCAACATGGTATTGAATGCGGAGAAAAAGTAACGGATGGCATGGAAAAGGGATGGAAAATGGAAAAGGAATCTACGGATATTCTTTTTGGCTAATTGAATAAATAAATGGTTCACTGGGTGCCAAATTACTTAAGCATTGCCTATTGGGCAATACGCAATGCCATCCTCAAATGGAAACTTATCATTGATCTAATTTTACTAATCAATCATGTTTTTAGAGATAAAATAAAGATCTGCGTATTGGATCAATAACTTAAAAACAACGCTTTTGTGAATCTGTATATAAATAACATGTATTCTTTGTGAAGTTGATGTTATTACATTTTCTTTATCAACTAAAATCTTAATTCTGCCCACACAATTTAATGACATTTAAATATTAATTTTTCTAATTGGAATAAACATGTTGGAACAGTCAGATTAAAAAAAAGGTCTTTGTACATAGTGGAAAATGTAATACAGTAGTGGAAAAAAAAGAATTTCCATCAATGAAGAAAAGAATGAAATATGTACATACATATAATAGAAACACATAAATTTTACGAAATTAAATTTATATTACATAAATATTTTAAAAACATATTAGTTAGCTATTAAAAAGTTATGTGTGGAAATTTGGTTGGTCTCGTCAATATTTTAAATTAAATAACCTTTTTAGACATATTATAAATAAAGTTTGGTCAAACTAATACTTTGTAATTTAGCACTTTTTCGTTCAACAAGTGAAAATATTGCTTTTAAGAACAATTTAGCTTTGTACTATATCATTTAAATTCTTTCATTCATATACGAATATATTTAAAAAATTGTATACTTTTAGGATGAGTAATGTTGATTCGAATTTTGCAAATTTCAGTTATCCATCTTCAAGGGTGTAAAAGTTTTTTAAACATACCCACTGACGGACGGGCAGAGTAAAACTAATAAGCACTTTTTTCCAAATTTCTTTTCGCAAAGTGCAAAAAAGTAGTCTCAATTCTTTCACTACGCTGCTTTTTTAGTTACTGCGCCGTTGAAACTCATTTTTAGCAACTTAGATTTTGCAGCATTGTGTAAATTTTTTACTCTAAAATGTGGATTACGAATACAATGTAGTACGAGTACTTCATTATTACTTCATTTTGAATATCAGGGTTATGTCTAAATTTCTTCATGATTTCCAATTGTAACAAATAAAATCATTAGTTAATTAGCAGTCACAGGAACATAATTCATGACAATAATAATGGGAGTTCATATGTTTTTTTCCAATAATGTACATGTAATAACTAAAAAGAAATAATAACAAGTAAAAACGTTTCAGTCGGTATAAACCGATTGAATTATACCCTGCACCTTTCATTGTTGTATAGCAATTACTCAAACCTGTGAAACCATTCTATAGAAACTTCACGGATATGTCAGACCTATAACTGAACACACAACTACCAAGTTTCATGAATCTGACTTAATTATTTTTCCAAATATTTAAAATTAGCTTTTGGAGTTGTATGGCAGGTACCCGAACCTGCCAAGCAATTCCACTAAAACTTCGCTAATATATCTGATCTATAATTGGACACACAACTGCCAAGTTTCATGAATCTAACTTTATTACTTTTCCAAATATTTAAAATAAGCTTTTGGACTTGTATGGGAGCCACTCGAACATGTCAAGCAATTCCACCAAAACTTCAGAAATATCTTTGACCTATAATTGGACACACAACTGCCAAGTTTCATGAATCTGTCTTTATTATTTTTCCAAATATTTAAAATTAGCTTTTGGAGTTGTATGGCAGGTACCCGAACCTGCCAAGCAATTTCACTAAAACTTCGCAAATATATCTGATCTATAATTGGACACACAACTGCCAAGTTTCGTGAATTTGGCTTTATTATTTTTTCAAATATTTAAAATTAGCTTTTGGAGTTGTATGGCAGGTACCCGAACCTGCCAAGCAATTTCACTAAAACTTCGCAAATATATCTGATCTATAATTGGACACACAACTACCAAGTTTCATGAATTTGACTTTATTACTTTTTCAAATATTTAAAATTAGCTTTTAGAGTTGTATGGCAGGTACCCGAACCTGTCAAGCAATTCCAATAAAACTTCGCAGGTATATCTGATCTATAATTGGACACACAACTGCCAAATTTCACGAATCTAACTTTTTTATTTTTTCAAATATTTAAAGTAAGCTTTTGGACTTGTATGGGAGCTACTCGAACCTGTCAAGCAATTCCACCAAAACTTCAGAAATATCTTTGACCTATAATTGGACACACAACTGCCAAGTTTCATGAATCTGACTTTATTATTTTTCCAAATACTTAAAATAAGCTTTTGGACTTGTATGGGAGCCACTCGAACCTGTCAAGCAATTCCACAAAAACTTCAGAAATATCTTTGGCCTATAATTGGACACACGACTGCCAAGTTTCATGAATCTGACTTTATTATTTTGCCGAATATAAAAAATTTGCTTTTGGAGTTGTATGGCAGCCACCCGAACCGGTGCAGCTATCTCATTAAAATTTTTAGAGCATATGTAGAATAT